TTTGTTTGTTCTTTTGGTACTTTTAACTGTTCTTCCATAACATCGTAATTCAAATGCATCAAACCTCTGGTTTTCCTTATTCATTGTCCAGCATTCACATGCATATGAGGTGATTGAAAATGTCATGGCTTGGGTCCGGCACACCTTGGTTTAGTGGTGGTGTGCCATCCAGTTGGTTCCAACTTATAGCGACCTTATGCAGGGTTTCTGAGGCTGTAAATCTTTACAGGAGCAGAAATTAGTCCTCACTTCTAAAGAGTTCTTTTGCAGCAGATTTGACCAGTGTAATACCTCATTTGAATTCTTGACTGCTGCTTCCATGAATGCTTATTGTGGATCAAAGTAAAATGAAGTCCTTGATAGCTTCAATCTTTTCATTTCTTATGATGTTATATATTCCAGTTATGAGGATTTTTTTTCTATACAGCGAGTTGTAAATGTATTCTGAATTGTAAATGTATTCTGAAGGCTGTATTCTTTGATCTTCATCAGTAAGTGCTTAAAGTACTTTTCCCTTTCAAGCAAGCAAAGTTGTGTTGTCTGTATATTGAAGGTTGTTAATGGACCCTCCTCCAATCCTGTTGCTATCTTCTTCATATAGTCTGGCTTCTCAGATTACTTGATCAGCCTACAGATGGAATAAATTTGATGAAAGGATACAACCCTGACACACACCTTTCCTGATTTTCAGCTATGCAGTATCTTCTTGTTTTAACCACTGCCTCTTGCTTGGTATATGTACAGGTTCTGGATGAGCACAATTAAGTGCTTTGGAATTCCCATTCTTTGCAATGTTATCCAGTTGAATACCTTTGCATAGTCAATAAAACACAAGTAAATATGTTGTATGCTCTGCTTTCACCCAAGAGCCATCTGATGCCAGTAATGACACATCCCTTGTTCCAGCTTCTCTTCTGAAATCTGACTTGAATTTTTTGCAGTTCTCTGTCAATGTACTACTGCAACCGTTTTTTAATTATCTTTAAAATTTTACTTTCATCTGATCAGTTATACATTTTACTGGGTCACCTTTGTTTGGAATGGGCACAAATATTGGACCTTTTCCAGTTAACTGGCAAAGTAGTTGTCTAAAGTTCTTGGCATAGACTAATGGGTGCTTCTAGCGCTGCATCAGTTTGTTGAAATGTTTCTAGTGGCATGCTCTCAGTTCTTGGGCCCTTGTTTTTCTTTCGCTAATGCCTTCATTGCAGTTTAGAATTCTTCAATACCATTATGGTTGAACGTTTAACCAATTCTTTTTTTTCCCCAAACAATTCTTTTTGGTATAGTGACTGCATTGTTTCCATCTTCTTTTGATGCTTCCTGCATAGTTCAATATTTGCCCATTGTTGTTGTTAAAGTACTGTGGAGTCGGTTCTGACTCGTAGTGACCCTGCACAGGGTTTCCGAGGCTGTACATCTTTACGGGAGCAGAAAGCTTCAGCTTTCTCCCGCGGAACGGCTGGTAGTTCCAAACTGCCGACCTTGAGGTTAGCAGCTGGATTCATAACCACTACGCTACCAGAGCTCTTTAATATTTGCCCATAGAATCCTTCAATATTGCAAAGTTAAGACTTGACTTTTTTCCCAGTTCTTTGACTTTGAGAAATGCTGAGCATATTGTAGCTTCAGGTCTTTGCAGATTTCATTGTAATACTTTACTTTATCTTCAAAGGGATATACACTGGAGGTTGGATTTAGGCACTTATGGACTTCTTTGAATTTTTTCAACTGGAACTTATATATGAACAATTAATGGGGTGCTCCACAGTAGTCCCCTGGACTTGTTTTGGCTGATGATATTGAGCTTCACCATCGTCTCTTTCCACAGATGTAGTCGATTTGATGCCTGTGTATTTCATCTGGCAAAATCCATGTGTTTAGTCACTGCTTATATGTTGTTGAAAAAAGGTATTTGTAATGAATGTCGTTGGTCTTGTAGAATTCTACCATGCGATCTCCAGCATCTTTTCTATCACCATGACCATATTTTCCAACTATTGATTCTTCCTTTTTGTTTCTAACTTTTGCATCCCAACCATCAGTAATTATCAGTGCATCTTGGTTGCATAGTTGATCAATTTCAGACTGAATAAATTGATAGAATTCGTCAATTTCATCTTCACTGGCTTTGGTGGTTACTGTGTAAACCTTAATAAGTGGCATTAACTGGGCTTCCTTGTAGGCATATGGATACTACCATATCACAGACAGCATTGTACTTCAAGACAGATCTTGGTATGTTCTTTTTGATGATGAATGTGAAGTCATTCCTCTTCAATTTGTCAGTCCCAGCCTAGTAAACTATGATTGTCTGGTTTACAATGGCCAGTACCAGTCCATTTCAGCTCATTAGTGCTTAGAGTATCGATCTGTATGGATTCCATTGCATTTTTAATGACTTCAATTTTCTTAGATTCATACTTTGTATATTCTACATTTTAATTATTAATGGATGTTTGCAGCTGTTTCTTTTCATTTTGAGTTGTGCCCCATGAAGTTTGTTATGAATGAAGTTTATTACAGGCCTTATTTCACCTTTATCCTTTTAAGTGGTAATGTCATGCTAACAAAGGTAGGCACATTGTTTCAATTTTAAAATGTTAATGTAATTAAAAAAAAAAAAACCACCACATATCTCAGGAATAGTGATTTAAAAACAAGACTTAGAGGCAGACAAATAGAAAGCCCTTGAAAATCTAGTATCCCAACCCTAGCTGGGTTATGGGAAAACACAAAGTTACACAATATTTGCAGCTGAATTTTATACTGCTCATATTTTTTCAGCTAAAGACACAAATACTCAAAGGGGCCTTTTAGAAGAACACTTGAAATCTTAAGACATCTTTCTATACTCAACAGCATGGCTGCTGTTTGATGAGACTAGCCATGGAGGTCAGCCATTTAAAAAGTGTTCTGTAGGAAAACCAGGAAACGGTTTACAGTAGTCAACTAGGAAACCCTGAAGCTTCCCTGCTTTGCTGCCTCTCGGGAGCCCCTCTTTGTTTTCCCACTTGAGGCTTTTCACATTCTCTTTTTAATGTCGGTGGACCTGGGTCCAGGAGTGGAAGAGAGAAGGAGTGGAGCAGCTGCGGCTTAGCACAGTCGACATGACCGGAGTCCCCACCTTGGCTAACCTACACAAAGGAGTGGAGTTTGTTCTCAAGTACCAGTCACTGGGCCAGTGTGTCTATGTGCATTGCAAGGCCGGCCGTTCCAGAAGTGCCACCATGGTGGCAGCGTATTTGATTCAGGTAGGAAAGGTCTTTCAGGGCTGACCCTCTTCCTAGCAGATTTCTAGAACTTTAGTAGCATGGTCCTACCTTTGGGCCTTGCTGGAAGGACCTGTGTCCCCAGTATCTGGCTGTTCGGTGGTGGTGTGGGATTGTGGAAAGTTTTGAAGACAGGTTAACCTGCAGCTTTGCCACTTGCTAGCGTTATGACCTTAGGCCAGAGTGGCGTCTGTTTCCTTAAACTAAATGTGTTCTGCATAGTACATGAGAAATGATCTCAGGAGTTATGAAGGCTGTTCAGCACCAACAAGATAGAAGCACTTGTTATAAATAGGTCAGGAAATTGATTCCTGCAGATAATAGTCCTGATCACTTTACAGCTGAATGGTACTTGCGTTTCTACAAGTACTTCAGAGTAACATTCTACTCAGTGGTTTATGTAACAAAGGATCCACATTGAATCTTGCCTAGCACATTGTTAATGACAGGTTGCATGCTTTTTCAAGTCTTTGGGAGAAGTATTTGACCTCTAGTCCTTCACCTGCTATCGTTTATGCCCTCATGGTGAGATTCATTTTCATTACCTGCCTGGCCCCTGCAGATGTATTTCACAGATGTAGGAAAAGGGAAATGTTGTAAGATAAATAGCCTGACCTTATTCTGTGGATGGGTGAGTAGATGGTGTAACCACCACCACCACCACCAAGGATTGGCCATAGGGCCGCGGATGCTGGAAAGAGGGTCTTTGGGATACTTTGAACCAAATGAGAATTGAACTAGCAGAGTAGAAATCTGTACATTTTTTGGTTCTATTGAATTCTAACCATTGAGTATCTTTAGGACACAAAGATGACCCTTCTGATTAAATAATTTAGCAGTACCAATTTTTGGCCTTAGTGGCAAGTTACATAATATACTTGTATATACTCATAATCAACAGCTCAGCTGAGGAAAGAGGTAAAGTAGGCCTAGGTGGGCTTGAATTTAGGGTTATCAGCTCTGTAGGTTCAATCTTCTTTTCCTAGGGTTTGGCAGAGTAAGAATTGGGTATATAGACTTGTCTACCAGCCCTTGGCATAGTATTATGGAACTGGCAGGGTGAGGTGATTAAAGTGTGTTCCCATTTATAATACTGGTGTTCGATGCCCAAGAAAATGGAGGTTTGGGAAAAAATTCTGTATATGTCAGTTCATAGGTCAAGGGTACCTTTACACCTGCTCCTTTCTCTGATTTCCAAACCTTGTACTTCAGGTGCACAACTGGAGTCCAGAAGAAGCTGTAAGATTCATCACCAAGATCCGGTCACACATCCACGTCAGAACTGGCCAGTTAGAAGTTCTCAAAGAGTTCCACAAGGAGGTTACTGCAAGGGCAGCAAAGGCTGAGACTAGCCATACAGCAAAGACATGAAGTATGCAGATTAGAAAGAACTCGACAATCGTGCTTGCTACAGAATAAGAGTTTAACAGGACCAAAGAGGGCTTAAGCCCAGACTTGACCTACCAGAAATGTGCTAAGTCATGCATCACTTTGCTTCCTTTGTCTTGTTTGATTTTGCTGAAATAATTGTTTAATGGCTAGAGGGATTTAGGGTGGCTCGTGGACCAGCGATTGGGGTCTTATTTTTATGAATGGGGTTGAAGAATTTCAACAAAAATCTCTTGTGCACACTTAGCACCGTAAGTCAAAGACATTTAACTCTAGGAAGAGTAAAGGAAAAATACTCAGCCCTGGCTCTTCAGCACTGTCAGGTCCTGATTATACTGGGCCCATGGGGCTCCCTCACACTCTCGGAGCAGTGAGTGATTTTGTATATAGCAAAGCACAGGATGAAATCAATACTGTTGACTTAGAAATGTGAGTGCGTGATTAATTTCCCTTAGGATATAACCCTACAGAATTCAACAGAGACACACATACCCTTCAAAAACTTTATTTGTATGAATAGTTCCTGGCTCATGCCTTAGCTTAGAGCTTTTAAAAGAGCAGAGTTTGAGTTTGAAAAAAATTTCTGCTATTAATCAGAAATAATCTTTTCTACTTCTTTCTGGCTAATACCCCTCATAGAGGAATGGAGTAAGCCAAAAATAAAACCAAAGTATACATATCCTGACACACAGGTGAGAAAACAATAGAAGGAACATCCTGAATTCTAGTTTGACTGTTGCTGGTGAAGTACACCTTCATTGTAGTCCATTCTCCCAAACAAAGCCTGAAGGAAAACTACAACACTTCATTCTTGGGGGGACAGAGGGGACATCAACCAGCCACTTAACAGACTACTTAAAAAAGGAGGATTAAACATCTTTGTTTTGGGATGGGGGTGTTCTGTTGAACACTGATCAGATAAAGAGGGGAGGCTGTGCCTAAGGTCTGAGAAAAGGCTTGCTCTAAGCAGGCTGTAGTGAGGCACAGGATTACAAGGAAATGGCAGCAACCAGGGCGGCCTATTCTCTCAGCTAAGGCAATCAGCTGAGCAGCAGCGGTCTAAAAAGCCCTCAACACAACCACGATAGGTTCAGGGGAGGTCTGAGGTGCCACCTTTTCAATATATGCCAGAAATAATACTCTGAATTGGGGCTCAGGGACTTGGGAGTCTGGGTGGGTAGGTGCTGAAAAAGGGGAGGGCACAAGAGGCAGTTGCTCTCCCCTCTGCACCCCTTCCCTATTTCTTTAGGCCAAAACAAACTGCAAATTGGTAAGCAGCACCTTAATGCCTCTGGTGACAGTGACAGCTGAAGTGGCAGGGTCCAGCTTATAGGTACTGGTATCCCCCTTTTTATACCGGTCCCGGAAGACATAGATGCTCCCGTTACAGCTGGCAATCTTCCAGAGAGATGGGGCAGAGCTCCAGGCCTCCGGGAGGCAGAGCCGGGTGAAGCTGTCTAGCAGGGGATTGTAGCACACCAGTGAGTCCCCTTCGGCCACGATGAACACCAGATCCTTATGCACAGCAGCGTGCATGAGGCCAGCGAAGGGCAGCACATAGGGCTTCACGTGGCACTTGTCTGTCTCTGTGTCAAAGCACTGGATAAGTCGGGATGGTTTGGTGAAGAAGTCCAGGTCATTCTCCTCCCCCCCTAGTAAGTAGATGATCCCATTGAGGTTGGCCCCAGCTGCCCCCGACACAGCCACTTCTAGCTGGGTTGTCTCTGTCCAGACGTTATCACCTACCCGGTAGTAGATAACTGCGTTGGAAAGGGTATCCTGCAGTGTCTTGCCACCTAGTGAATATATGGCATCTTTCCCGGGCACAGATACCAGAGTGTGCTGGAGCCGGTCTCGGGGTAAAGGTGCACACCACTCCCAGTCAACCGTGGCATTGTTACACTTCCACATGCGCCGGGGAATGGACCCTCCCACCACGTACAGGTCTGCACCATGCTTGCAGGCCGCAGTGATCTGGTGGCACAAGCTGTTCTGGCCACTTACAGTGATGGAGTCATCTTCTGCACAATGCAAGGACACAGCCAAGGAGTGAGTACGAGACGACTCTTTGCCGATTAAGTAAATGTGCACGTTCTCCCCAATTTCCTGTGGGTGAAATTAAAGTGATAAATGACATCTCTCTGTGCTAGGCTCAGGCTCAGCTGGCATGCATAGCCTTAAGGGCATGAACTACACACTTGATGGTGCTCTAACCAACTCTTCTCGCTACTGTCTGGCATCCGGACTCTCCTTCAGCCACATGTGCAGGCATTTATGCCAAGACTAAGATGACCGCATCCTCCCTGCAACTTTTCTCTTAACGCTGAAGAGCTGACATTTTAGACCTGGCTCTGACCCCCTACTGAGAAGTCACCTTTCCATCCCAGATGTACGGAACCAGAAACTACAGGTGATTCTTACAAGATCATCTGCAGATCAGTGGTATATTTTTCTAAGAACCACCTGGGGATTTTATTAGAAGGTAGATTGTGATTCAGTAAATCTGGGGTGGAAATTCGGATCCTCAGCAGGAAGTTGAACCCAAGGGAACTGGTTCAGAGCTGTCCTTCAGACAGGGTGATTTGTACTCTTAACGCAATGATGGACGTAGTTCTCTCAGGAGCTTTGGAGCTCAGAGGCTGGTGGCTTCTGTGCTCTTAAATGTCTGCCCCAGCTCATATTAACTTCAAACCAGAGACATTTGCCTCCCAGCAATCAAAGTGGCTGGGCTGAGTGGATACAGATTTCCAAGTCCCAAGTCTTCAGAAAGCCACCATACCTTCAAGCTAGTCCTGAGCGACTCAGTAAAAGCCTCTCTTTCCTCTTTGTTAAAATTGATCCAGGATTCTATGGCCTCTGCTGGGTTCTGGGAACATGGAACTCCATCTGTGAGACGCAGAGGAACCATAAGGTCACCGACAAAAGGATGAACACACACAGAACACTTTTTATACTGTTTGTCAGTCCTTAGATATGTAGGTTTATGTGTCATTTGTGTTTTATGTAATATGTGTACTGGAATCCTGGTGTAGCGCTGTAAGATAAGCACTGGATTGCCAACCACAAGGTTGGCAGTTTAAGCCCACAGCTACTCCTCGGAAACCCTAGAGAGTCACTGTGTCAGAACCGACTTGATGGCACGTAACAATAATAATAATAGGCTATAAATTTTATATGTTATATAAAATATGTCCATGTATGAAATGAAAAAGTGAATCTAAAATTGCCTAATCAAATGGATGGCTTGATATGCTCCCATTTCCCATGAAATCAAAACCAATTAGGGCTTCAGAGTGCACAACTAAAGTATGGTATGCCTAACTTGTAGGGTCGATTCTAACCTGAAGTTGGTACATGACTATACAATTTTTTTCCCTTGCCTACTGGACTCATTATCAACTGACTTGGGTAACTAGTCCTACAGGTACCTACCTGCAAAGTACAGGGCAGAGGAGAATGTTTCTACACAGGAAAGATGAGAGTATAAATACAAAAGCTTCTCACTGCCTTTTGTGGATTGTTAAGTGCTGTCGAGTTGGTTCTGACTCAAAGCAACCCTATACAGGGTTTCCGAGGAGTGGCTGGTGAGTTTGAACAGTTTCAACCTTGCAGTTGAAGCCAACTTTGAAGTCCAGTGCTTATCCTACAGTGCTACATCAGGATTCCAGAAGTCCTTTAATGGTTAGGTGCTGCTTCCTCCCCTACCCCCAGCCCTCACCTCGACTTCTTTCTCTGGAAGGAATTCTTGCCTCAGACAGCAGTTACACTGAATGTCAGTATCTCTCAGTAGAGACCTAAAGTCCTACCAGGAACAATAACATAAATGAACACCAAGAGACCTGAGAGTTCATTGTCTTGAACTAGAGCATCCTCTGATCATACCCCAGTAGGTGGGTGGGGATAACTTGTCCTCTTATTAAACTCACCTGAGATGATATCAGTGAGGAGATGGTGAGACAAGTGGAGAAATTCCTCTGTGCCTTGCAGCTGGGCCAGGTGGGTCTTGGCACAGTGTTTGGCAGCAGTGTAGAGCTCAGGATCACTGTGCCGATCTGCCAGCCACATCACTTGAAGGCAGTTTCCTACTTGCACTGTGCGGGCCAAAAACCGAGAACATTCTTCAAAGAGAGATGTCAACTGATACATGTCTGACACCTCATAAATTTCCTGCAGCTCATCAGCTCGGAGTTTCACAGTCCCATGGTAGATATAATCCACCAGGAGCTGGAAAACAGACTCGCTGACATCCTGCAGTACAATCACTCGGTTGTGAGCCTCCTTCAGGTTGGACGTGAACATGGACCGGAAGAAGCAGCTCTGAGCTGAGAGGACCAGCCGGTGGAGCTGAAACTCTCGGCCCTCTACTGAAATGGTGACGTCAGCAAAGAGCTCCTCCTCCAGACACAGTTTCATGATGCCCTGAGCTACGCGGCCCGAGTGTGACCGATCTTTGAACGTGTAGTTCACAAAGTAGTTCTCATCCATGGACGCTCCAGGCTCTTCTGGCGATTCCATGGTGGTCGACTTTTCTCTTTGCCAGCTGTCTGCAAGGGAACAGCATGCTCAGTCAGTTAGGGAATCCACAACCATAGTTTGTGAATCAACAGTCCTACGCAAGGCAGGAGAAGGGAAACTTAAGAACAAAGTGGAACTAGACTGGTCTTAGGATCGGCCCTGCAATCAAGTCCTTGACTTTCTGCAACCACAACTGGGTTCATTTCTCATGTGGCGGCTTCCCATCCCCGACGAAATCACTAAAACTTCCAACTCGAGATGTTCCTCTGAGAACACGGAGCACTCCTTTTTAGCATGTACCAGAAAGCTTGGCATTTAGATAAACATGCAAAACAAGTCTCTAGAGGAAGCCTACCTACGCGCTTACAAACCAAACAACTACTGAATGCTGGATCAGGCAAAAAAACAAGGCACCCACACCCTCATGGATATCTAGGGCCTCTTTCCCCGCCCCGCCCACCCCGAACATGGAGACCAGATTCTTGACCAAGAGGCTTGCATTTTGACATCTGGCAGTTACACGTTTTCTCTTTTCTGAGCTGCTCTCCTCCGGCTTTCCCGCTTGCCCTGATGACTTCCAAAGACTCTGGCCCAAAACACGAGACAAAGTCCAGTTGTTCCCAGCCCGGGGTTCGATGAGGCCCATCGCCCAGCCGTGTTCTCCCTCTACCTGGGAGTCGCCTGAGAAACGGTTTCCAGGGAAACCGTTCTTTCCCTTCCTGCCCTCGTACGAAGCTTCGCTAGAGCGGTTGCGGGGGGTGGGGATGGGATTGAAATCTAGAACTCAGAATCTCTGCTGCTTCCTCTCACCCATCCAGTTCTTTAGGGGCCTTGCTTTATCTCCAGCCTCCGCCATACTGAGCTAGCGCTCTGTTTACCTCACCGCTTCCTCACCTGCCCGTCTAGCTTTCTCACCTGCGTTCCCTCCTTTCATTCCGGAGGCCGGAACCCGGAACTTCTGCCTCCGGCCTTCTGCGTCCGCCCGGAAGAAGATCCACTACACACTTCCTCTTCCGGTCCTTGCCCTTGGGTTTCCGTGTCCAGTCTGCCGAAATATCCTCGGCTGCCGGGTTTGCCTCTGGGGAACATGGCGGCGGCGAGGGGCTGGTGGCGGGGGCTCGCGGGGGCTGCGGCACTGGTCCGGGGTGAGCAGGGGACAGCCAGCTGAAACCGGGGGCAGGAACAGCGGTTTGCCATGTGTAGGGAATCCCTACACACAGAGCTGACTCGGCGCGTCTGTCCCTTTATCTCCCCGTGCAGGGGCTGGGCGACCCTCGGCGCTGTGGCTGGCAGTAAGGAGGGAGAGCTCCCAGGCCGACACGCGCCGTGAGTATGTGCAGGCCGCGCTCTTCTCGAGGCAATTGTAGGGAACCTCTTCATTCCTTTTATCAGACGTTGGCCCTTGCCCTTGGCCCGGGATGCCCTTCCCGGCGTCCTCCCGGCAAATCCCCAGAGCCCTTAGGTTTCTCTGTCGTGGCCATTATTCCCCTTTTCATTGAATAAACATCAGCCTTTCGAGAGCTGAAAACACCACCTTTGGGTCCCAGCAACAGGGTCTCATCTTGAGAACCCACTGTGTGCCAGGCCCCTTGAGAAGCGTTTTAATGCATGGTCTTATGTAATCCTCACAATAGCCTTATAAGGCAGATGGCACTATTATCCCTATGTTATGGGACAGGGGCTTCAAAAAGCTCGTGGAAAAATGGAATTAAGATACTGGAATTTTCCCATCAACTTTTTCAAGCTTCCTCTTATAGATCAGGAGACAGTCCAGAGACGAACTAGTACCCAGAGCCCTAGAATTAGAGCTGGTGCCGGAATCCAGGTCTGCTGTCTGCCCTAACCAGAGAATGTTCACCTTTGCTCAGTGTGGATGCTCGGTGATTTGGGGCTGCTTGAATGAATGTTACAGTCAAATAAGCTGACTGGGAGTCAAATCTGGCATTTCCCCCATTCTTGGCTTCAGTTTCCTCATTGATAAAAAAAAAAAAAAGCGGTTTCAACTAGAAACCATAATTTGTGAGGGCACTTCAGTTCTGGGGCATTAGGCTGCTAACTACTAGGTCAGTGGCTCAAATCTACCAGTCACCCCTCAGAAAAAAGAAAGATGAGGCTGTTTGCTCCTGTAAAGATTTACAGCCTTGGAAGCCATATATAGGGCTTTTTTTCAGCCATGACATTCTTCACTTAAGAACCAATTATGAGCCGTGTGCTAAGGAGATCGAGAGCATTAGAAGTTCTGGTTACTGGCCTATCAGGAACATGTAGTCTGGTAGAAGAGCTCGGACATCTGCTTTAGCACAAATGCAGCCAGTGTGAAGGAAAACCCACCAGAGAAGTTGCAAGAAAGGACCAATATCCTAGGTGCAATAAGAAGGTGACTATAGACTGTGGAGTTCAACTGGCACCTTTCTGTAGACTTAAGAGTGCCCCACCCTCGCCTTATGCCTTACCCACGTTTCTGAGGGAGCCCTGAGACTGGATGCAGCGCCGGCTGATGTCATCTCCATTCTTTTGCTAAGTATGCCTTTTCCTTCTAGCCACTGTCAGACCGCGGAATGACGTGGCCCACAAGCAGCTCTCAGCTTTTGGAGAGTATGTGGCTGAAATCCTGCCCAAGTATGTCCAACATGTTCAGGTAATAGTCACTGCTATTCTTTGGGTCTGGATCAAGAAAAGGGCCCAAGGTGGTACAGATGATTTGACAATTTGAAAACCTAGTCAGCTGTGCTGTGGAAGAAAGACCCGGTGATCTGCTTTCATAAAACTGACCACCAAGAAGCCCATATGGAGCAGTTTTACTTTGTAACACATTGCTCACCATGAGTCTGAACTGACTCAGTGGCACTGGGATTGATTTTGGCTTTGGGTTCAAGAAAAAAAAAACGATCTTCTCAGAGCATGTGGTTTCAGAGAGATCACAGACTGCCATCCCAAACCTGGGCTATATCCAGGGGATTCCAACTGAAGGTAGCTGCTCCCTTGGGAGCTTTTTGTTCCATCTCGTCACCCCAGTCCATACTGTAGGTGTCCTGCTTCAATGAATTAGAGATCTGTATCCATCCTGATGGAATCATCCCAGTGCTGACGTTCCTCAGGGATCACACCAACGCCCAATTCAGATCCTTGGCTGACTTAACAGCAGTGGACATCCCAACCCGGCAAAACCGTTTTGAGGTCAGTTGGAAATTTTTAGAAGGTTTAGGGAGTGAGGGGAGGAAAGAGGACAGAAAAATGTCAGGGTGGTAACTACCTATAAAAGTCTGAGCCTCCTTGGTTTCAGTGAATTCTCAATACATGTTGCTATTCATATTTACTGCCCAGCTACTGTCTTCCAGACTCTGGGGACTGAAAGAGAAATAACAACTAAGATCTGCCTTCCAGGAGTCCCCCCCCTTTAGTGATGGAAAAAGACATATAAGCAGAGTGTTATCATGTAACATAAAACATGGGATGTTGGAGGGATGCTGTAAAAACACAGGAGGAGTACTTAGACTTCTTGGAAGAGAGACGGGAAAGAATGTTTGTGATGAGTCTTCATGGAAGATTGGGAATTAGGCCAGTGAGGGTGGGGTTGACAAGGACCATGAGGACATCCCAGACAAACTCAGGCATGCTGAGAGCTATAGCTGTGGCCAAGGGCTTTAAAATACAGGCAATTCAACGTTGCAAACAAGCTCTGTTCCTAAGTGTGCCTTTAAGTTGTATTTGTAGGTTAAATCACAACAGGTGCATGTAATTATTGAGTCTTCACTGTAAGGAAAGGCTCTAAGCCTTTTCAGGGATATAAAAACTGCACATGCGACAAGTGAATTTGTTGATGGTGATGAATTTGTTGTGATTAGGGGTTGGTTCAGTCATTGCTGAAGTCAGGACAAATTTACATAACGTTAAAGGGCAAGTAGAAGCTATGGGGATCATCTTGAGGTTTTAAACTTCAGAACAAAAGGCAGATTCACAGAATTGACCCCTAACCCTCCCTGTGTCCTCACTGTTGATACTCCCCCACTCGGACCTACATCCCAAACATCCAGCTTCCTCTATTCTCTCCAGATTGTCTACAACCTGCTGTCTCTGCGCTTCAACTCACGGATCCGAGTGAAGACCTATACGGATGAGCTGACACCCATTGAGTCCACTGTCTCTGTGCACAAAGCAGCCAACTGGTATGAGAGGGAGGTAAGTGCTAGGCTGGCCTCTGGGCCAGAGTTGGGGAATTGGTTGGAACCACTGGATTCCTGAGGGCCTCTCTTTTCTAGATCTGGGATATGTTTGGCGTCTTCTTTGCTAACCACCCTGACCTAAGAAGAATCCTGACAGACTATGGCTTTGAGGGGCATCCTTTCCGAAAAGACTTCCCCTTGTCTGGATATGTTGAGGTAGGAGGCTTGTAAATGGGACAGCATCCTCAGGGAGGGGCCTTGGGCATGGCAAGAAATGTCGTCTATGGATTGTAGTGGTTTAAGAACCTAGACTCTGGATTTGAATTCTAGCTTCACTCTCACAATGTGGAGCAAGTGACTGAATTTCTCGATGATTACAGTTCCTTATATGTAAATGGCAGTAATGATAATAGTACTTGTGGTAGTATTAAATGATGTTTTTTATAAAGTCTGTTGTGTTAATTGATATTTTCTATTGTAGTGATCATTATAATTGATCAAGGACACACTTACGTTTCTCCCATGGCCTGAAAGTGGAGGATTGTATCACCCTGTCCTGGGCCCCTGGGAAGGCAGTTGACTAAGTGGTCAGTCCTGGAGAATGGCCGTTGAGACAGGACTAGTAGCCTGCAACAAGAGGACCCTTATATAGACAAGAATTTTCTAGCAAAGGAACTTTTTAGAAACCTTGAGAAGTATGGCAGTCCAGCCCTGCTCATTGAGCACCCAGACAGCCCTCTTTTCTTTGCTCTGTGCTCTGCATGCTCTCAGTCCTCCCCGCAGCTACTCAGGACAGAGCTCCTCCCCTTTTCTTCCTTTCACTTACCCTGCTGTCTCCTGTATCTGGTAGCCTTTCATCACCCCAGCACCTGACTGTCACTACTTTAGCCAAGTGCTCCTCCAATCACAAGAAAAGCTGTGCCAAATTTACTCATTGTCTTGACGTTGGATAGTGACAATATCAAAGCCCTAAGGCCTGAACTTGTCTACTTACCATTTTAGGTTTACTCTTTTCAGCCATAGACTGCTCCCCTAAGCTCCCCTGTTGTTAAGTGCTATTAAGTCGGTCCCGATTCATAGTGACCCTGTATAGGGTTTCAGTGAGCAGCTGGTGGGTGGGTTTGAACTGTCAACCTTGTGGTTCAAAGTCTAGTGCTGATTCTACAGTGCCACACCAGGATTGCAGACTCCCCTGGCCCTGGACAAATGCTTGCCATTACCGTGTAGTGCTGTGGGATAAAGCACTGGACTGCAAGGTCTGTTTGAACCATAATGTCAGTGATTCAAACTCTCAACAGCCACTCCTTGGAAACCCCATACAGGATCACTATGAGTGGGAACCAACTCTATATGACACTTAACAACCATAGCTGTACAAGAGCGTGTGTACGTATTAGCAGGAGTCAGCTCTGCTGTACAGGGTGCTCCAAGCTCATGACATGATGCTGGAGGGCAGGGAGCCGGACAATGGCAGCACGTGCCTCTTTGGAATCCCACAGCACTAGGTGGCTGGGATGTGACTTGCTGGACAGCACAAATGGAGTTGGGAGACAAAAGCCTGGGAAGAGGCTAGGTCAGGGGAAGTCATTGGTGGTCTGGCAGAAGTGGGCTCCTTAGTGGCTGTAACAGGGCTTCCTAGCACTCATGCTTCCCCTCTCTCCCTGCAGCTACGCTATGACGATGAGGTGAAGCGGGTGGTGGCTGAGCCGGTGGAGTTGGCCCAGGAGTTCCGAAAGTTTGACCTGAACAGCCCCTGGGAGGCCTTTCCTGCCTATCGCCAGCCTCCGGAGAGTCTTAAGCTTGAGGCTGGAGACAAAAAACCCGAAGCCAAGTAGCTCCAGGGAAGCATGTACATCCTAGGAATTGCCTTATCTATAACTGAGTTCCATGTAAATAAAATCCTTCATAGACTCACTGCGTCTTGTGTTTGTGTAACAGGTCAAAGGGATGCTTTGGTTCAGCATAGACAAGATCTGGTTCATCCCCAGTTCCCTTAGACTCTATCATAAAGTGGGGAGTCCATTTGAATGGGACTAAACTGTTAGAAACATGGTGGCCTGTTGACCTGGAGGACTTATAACTGAGAGTTCTAGCAGTCCTCAGGGCTCAGGCTGATGAGACACAGCCTCTCCTGAGCACTGGAGGGGGTCTCCACAACTGATGGAGAGAGCCCCTTGTCACGGCACACTGTTTGGTGGCAGCTGATGGATCCAGGAGCCTGAGTGGACCAAGCAATGCCCCCTCCCCACACCACCCCCTTTATTTCATCCTTACATCCATAGGGCTCTGAGGCAGCAGAGTGGGGAAGAGCTTCCGCTCCTGTTCTGTCCTGATCTTGCATCCTGTTTTTTGCAACTTTGACAGCCCATCAGCCAGACTCTGGCCTGAGCCGAGAATTGTTAGCAATCATCAAAGGTCCCAGGCTGGGACAAAAAAAACAACCAAGGAGCTGGAGATTTGTCTGTCTGCCAACGGGTCAGTACAATTCACCCCAGCTGCCCTAGGGTCTAACAGTCCACCATGCAATGAGAAAATTGGGCTCTGGAGCTGATGTTCTTGGCTGCCAAGGGGCTCCCAGAAGGCTGGGCTAGACTTGGCTGATCTTGACTACAGGATGATTTGGGGTGAGGACAAATAGTAAGGTGGTGGTGTTACTGCCTGGGTTGGCTCTTCCAACCTCTTGGGAGGGACAGACTAGAGATGTTTGCTACCAACACCTTTTTTCTATTAAGTGAGCATCCAGCCCGTCTGGGCAGGAGCAGACTGAGGGCCTGACAAGAAGAGAGCCAAATTCCTACTGCCAACAACCCCAAATCCCCATTTCTATGGGATGGAAAGGGTCCCTGGGAGGCTATTGAAGTCACGGGCAGCCTCTCCGTGAGCTGCCAACGGTGGAAAGTTAAAGCTGTGTGTGGCAGTAGGATCAGGGAGCCCAGAGTTGCTGGGGAGAGTGAGACTTGGTGGATGTGGCAGGGCATGGTGGGGATGCTTCAGTTCCTGTCTTGGCTAGGGGTGACTGCCTCCTTTTCCCTGGCGTGGCTGGAACCCAGCCCCAGGCAGGTATGGGGCCTTAAGGGTGGGGTGCATGGGATCCAAGGGAGGCTGCTGGCTGCTGGCAGTTATTGCTGGCTTTGAGCCCATCAGGGTGCAGGAACTGACCTGTGTTGGAGGTGGGAACTGTAGACCCAACTCCAGAAGGTCCACGTGAAGCAGCTCTAGACCCTCACTGCTGGCCCTGGATAGAGTTGGGTCCTGGGTTATTCCAGGTGACCAACCAAAGCAGACCTCTTGACCTACCTGGGCTAGCGACTACATGACACCCCAGGATGTGGGATGGAGGAGGATCCTACGGGCACGTTGAGCTGCTGGTTGGCCCTGCCTTATACACGACCCTCTACAGTGCTTCCTAAAGAGGTTCTTGCCTTTTGGGGAGAGTTACTGATACTTTTGGGTTCTACTCTCCCAGATTATAGGGTAGATGGGTGGGAGAGGAAAGGTTTTATGATGTTTGGCCTGAAACTCTTGACCAGAGGTATTGTGGGAGCTGAAAGAGGAGTCACAGGTATTTACCTTGGCGGTGAGTTTGGAATGATAAATCTGGGAGGGTAAATGTAGATATGCATGTGCGTGTGTTGGTGGGGAGGGGGCGAGACATGTGGGATGGCATTCTTGCCCTTTTATAGATAGTTCTAGGGATCCCTATCAGGCAGTGAAAGCATACCCCTGGAAGATGGGGTGTTCAAGCTGGAGCATGGCAGTGTACTGACTTCTCTCTGCTGCCCCAGGGCAGACTCCCAACAGCAACAGCATGGGAGGTGGTCTGCAGGAGCCAGAGGGTCCAGAAGTGATGTTTGAGGTCTTTACTCCCAACCTGGGGCCATGAGGGTGGGAGTGTCCAGAGGTCTCTAAACTCAAGGTCAGCCTGCTGGGGGAGGGGGACAAATCCAGCATGGATTCCACTGCTTGTTCTGGCCCCTCCACTCGGCTCCCCAGGCCCCAGGCCAGCCCCTGACATGACTCCCTTTGCAGTTTCTCTGGGCTGGGATGGAACTGGATGCCATGGGGCAGCTGCATATTCAGGACGAGGAGCTGGCATCTACTCGTCCAGGCTGCCGCCTCAAGCTCCTACAGCATCTCATGTCCAGCAACGTGGAGGATGCTGAGCAGCAGCTGCAGCAGTTCCAACTCCAAAGCTTGCTCAAGGGGCCTCCTCTTAGCCCTTGGGAGTTTGAACAGCTGCTCCTCACAGGCCTGTTATGCATCCACAGGCTCCACATGGCTGGAGAGGCCCAAGAGCGGGGCCACTGGGCTGCTGGGCCACTGGGCCCACGCCTTTGCCCTCTTGGCATAGGAAACACTCTGGGACCTGTGCAAGAGTTTCTGTCCACAGGACCAGCCATCGTCATTGGGCCCCTGGGCCTTGGCCCTTGACCCCTCCCCATAACCCTCCCCTAACACCTGCCATTGTCTTTGCACCCCCTAGCACTCCCTCTATCTAGGGCAGAGACTTTCATCTGGCAGCTGCTGCTTCTCACTGCATTTAGGTCTCTGGGCTTAGCTTACACCCCGGGCCTCTACCTACCTCAGCCTTCCCCCATCTCCTCCCGTCTTCTCTGGGCTGACGGCCAGGGCTCTGGGTAACAGGCACAGGGTCAGAGCAGAGGGCAGCACTGCCGACAGTGTAGGTGTGTGTGCTGGGGTCAGCAGTCAGAGTTGGCAGTGTGCTTCAGAGACGCTGAAAGGGAAGCTGTCCCCAGATAAAGATGCTGGGAAGCTCCCCAGCTCCACTTGGAAGATGGATTGCAGAATCTACAGGAATCTTTTTAAGTGCTCAGCACCCAGGCCTCATTTTAGATGTCACTTTTATGCCCAACTAAGGTGCTAGGATCCCTGAACCTCCAAGTTCCTCATTTGGGCTAGAATAGGTTGGACTTCTTGTGAGTATTGGAGGAGGGAAGCAGGTGGAGGAACATTAATCTCTTGGGTTTAGGGGAGGGAGGACATCTTTTGGTCCATCTCAACAAGGTCCGGCGGAGGAGGAAGTGAAGTTGGGGGCGCAGACACAGAGACACGTTGAGGCCAGCTGGGTGCGGGGTTGGGTAGGGGCAGCTCGGATCACTTGTATTGCTTCTAATAAAACACTCTGTTCTGATCTCCCAGAGCTGGGTCCTTCTATGTCCATATCCAAAGCTATGTCCATCTCCTGCCCTGAGCAAACCACCTTCCCATCCTGGCAGTGCCTTGAGTCAGGACAATCGGGAATCAACTCCTCTTCCCATCCCCACACCCTTTTGGAATAAAGAATGTTCTGTTTCCTTAAGCCCACATGTCGGTGCAATGCGGTCACTGGCTCTAGGGATGAGGAGGTGGTGGGTCAAATGTGGGTCACACCCACAGAGAGTGAGCAAATAGAACTAACTGCGAATGGATTAGGTGAGGACTCAAGCACATTCCCACAGTTCTCCCTCCCAGGGCCTGAGCGAATCTTGCCCTTTGCCCCCCACACCGGGACCCTGCGGTAGTCACAGCACAGGACTCTTCTGAGACAGGCGCCGACGCAGGCCCACTTTATTGGCAGAGTCCAGCGGTGCTGGGCAGGCCGTCATGCTCGCGCCGGCGGGTAGTTCGGGCCCAGACTCGGCATGCAAACCCCCGGAGGCTCAGGGCTCCTCTCGACCTAGGGCTCAGAGCTCCGGGAGTCCCAGGCCAGGCAAGCGGACGGCAGTGGCGGTGGGGTCCGGGTCAGGGTAGACCAGGAAGCCGGAGAAGGTGATGTACTTGCCATGGTTGCTGTAGGCACCATAGCCTTCGTGGTCGTGGCTGAGCAGCCAGACAGCGTCACCGCGCTGCAGCGCCAGCATCACGCTCTGGCTCTGCATCTCTCGGCGCCGCGACGCACCATCGTCGTAAATCATGGCCTGCACCTCGTCGCGGTTCTTCATCAGCTTCACCGACAACGTCTTGCGCGGCAGCTTGCCCAGCGTGAAAGAGAAGAAGTAGGCGCCGGGCAGGCGACAGCGGAACACGCCGGCGGCCGTGTCAAAGTCGCCGCCGATGTTAACAAGCTCAGTGTCGAAGGCCAGTGGCCGGTGCCGTGGCCCGGGGCCCGCGTCCGAGCCCACCAGGCTGCGCGTGCGCGCCGCTGAGAAAGCCGAGCGCGGTTCGGGAGGCGCGGGGACACCTCGCGCAGGCGCGTCGGCGTCAGCGTACACCAGGTAGCCACTGAAGGTGGCACCAGGGGCGCCGAGCGCGTACTGCGGCGCGCCGTGCAGCCGCAGCCACACTGTGTCGCCGTAATCGAGCTGCAGCATGGCGCTCTGGCTGGCTGCGCGCTGCGCACCGGGTCGCCGTTGCTCATCGAAGGCCAGCGCTTGCACCTCGTCGCGGTTGCGCACCAGCATCACCGACAGGCTCTTGTGCGGGGCCTTGCCCGCGGTGAAGGAGAAGAAGTAGGCGCCCGGGACGCGACAACGAAACTGGCCCGTGGCCGCGTCGAAGTCCCCGCCGATGTTCACGTACACCTTGTCGAAGGTCACTGCCATGTCCGACGTGCTTTCCAAGGGACCAGTGCGCGCTGCTGAGAAGGCCGAGCGCAGCTCTGATGAGCCTGGCGCTGGACCCAGAGCCCAGCAGGCGGCCGGGCCCAGAAGGCCCAGCAGGAGCGGCAGCATGGCGTCTGGGAGGGGAGACACAGGGGCCAGGAGAGAAGGGTTGAGCAGGGGGCCACCGCCAGACGCCCAGCCCTCCTAAACTGGGGGTCGTGTGTTCTCATCCTAGCCCTGTCCTTGCCTCATTCGTGCACACACATGGACAAGGTCAGTGGTGCTCAAACTTCAGCCTGCATTAAAGTGACCTGGAGCACTTGTTAAAACCTACTCCTGCACCCAGGGGTGAGACCTGTAGTTTACATATCTAGTAAGTTCCCGGATGGTGGGGATGTTGATGTGACTGGTCCAGGGACCACACTTTGAGAATCATTGAATTAGGCAAGCAATTTGCCACCTTCCCGCCCCCCCAAACATCAGTCTCTGAATTAGAAGCTTGCACACATCTACCACGGATACAAGCAGAAATATTTGGGACACACACACAACGCGGAACTTCCCACAGCCTCCACTTTGTGGCATTTCTTGTGTCCATTCCAGGGTCTTGGTCTGCTCCTCAGACGTTGACTTTCTGTCTTAAGTGTCCTCCATGGTGGCTACTGTTTAAGCGGCCATATGGGTAGGAAACAGAATCACGGAACCTGACCCTTCCCAGCCTCTGACTCAAGGGTCAGCTCCCACACTGCACCTCTTTGCCCCCTAGAGAATTCCTGCACTGAGAAGCCCAGAACAATTGGTCTTTAAGGTAGTGGCCCCCTCCAATGAAATCAGAGTAGAGGAGAAAGCAACTGCTTTCTACTTGGAAGCTGGTCTTGGAGGGGAAAGCCAGGAGCTGTTAAAGATGGAGATGGTGTTGTCCAATGCTGTCGAGTCAGTTCCAACTCAGTGACCCTGTATAGGGTTTTTAGGAGTGGCCAGTAGGTTTGAACCACCTACCTTAAGGTTAACAGTCCAGTGCTCATCCTACAGCACCACACCAGGATTCCAAGGATGGAGGTGGAGAGCAACGCTTGCCAAAAACCACGGGGTTTTGACAAAACTGTGAGGCAGCAATTTTATTCCTCAGTGGTGGTGGAATAGAGAGGACAGACAGGTCTAGGCTCTGATTCCTAACTATTCATTCACCACTTACATGCTGAAAAACCTTGGGGAAGTTCCTTCACTTCTCTGGGCCACAGCTTCCTCTGTGTAAGTGGGGAAGAGCTGGCTGTCAGGATGCCCTGAGACAATAGATGTGAACATGGCTTGTGAACAGTAGTGCTGCCCAGGTGTATAGATGCTTCCATTTTTGGCCTGGATACAAGTGATCTGATCAAGGAGCTTTGGGACCCAATAACTTCTACTCCTGAGAACTTTGTGAGGGCACAGTTTAATGCCAGGGAGATACTCTCCAATGGTGGCATTCATAGCTTTGTGCTTCCTCTTAGGGCATAGACTTTGGATCTTGAATGCCCAAAGACTGTGAAATGAAGATAGAGCAGGAAAGAAAATGACCTAGAGACAGTCTAGGACGTCGGCTTCCATAGGAAAGGCTCTTTCATAGGACACAGAGGTGCTGAGAAGAGTTGTCATGTTCAGCTGTGATGATGTGCCCTTTGTCAGCCCCGTCACCTGAGTTTAGGTGGTAGCTGGACTCTAGGTCACATTCCACCTGCTTGCAGCCACCTGGAGAAAGTGTGAATGGAGGTCTGGATAGGATAACCCATACCTCTGAGGAATCGGGGAGCCCTAGCAGGTAGAAGACTGCATCTCAAGTGGCCAGTGCATTCCCTTTCACTAAACTCTTGGACATCTCTGATCTCCCAGCAAACCTGTGAGACGGGCAGGTCCTTTCCCAGGTCCCAAAAAGGGGAAGCAATTTGGCTAAAGTCCTCCACCCGCATTTCAACACTGAAGCAAGTCTTGAACCTAGGTCTCTGTCTCCAAATCTAGCATGTCTTCCCCTCTACCATCACACTTCCCTCCTAAAGACTTGTCCCCTATCTCCAGGGTGAAAGCAAAAACAAAACCCTGGCGGGTTGTCTTCTGGGAGCATGGGCTAGCTCCAAGCCTGCAGGGATGGGGGACGGGCAGGGGGTACAAACCTGCCCACCCCACTCCTGCCATCTCCCTGCCAAGTCTGGTGCACCCCACCAGTGCCAGAGGCTCCTCGTGCGCAACTACCCAGCATGTGTCACCCATTTCCCAGACCCCTGGATCCCCATTGTTCCCTGAGTAGGTGTGTGTGGGAGGGGGTCAGGTGGGTGGCATTGCCCCAGAAAAGGAAATGGCTGTTCCTAGCGCTGACTAGGTGGGGCTCAAAATAGTCATCTTCAAAGAGAGAAAACTGGGACACAGAGCCGGGCACTCAGAAGGTTGCCTACCCAGAGCCCCGGAACCGCCGCCGGAGAGGCAGAGATGTACCGAGCCCCCTCTCCACCCGCCTCTACCCCACAATCCGCCGCTGAGGTCCTACCAGAAGCTCTCCCATCTCCCCAGAAATCCCCTCATGCTCGCTAGAACAGCATGCTCCCTTTCACGGAAACAGTCCATGAAACCTCTCGTGAAAAAACAAAAACCCACACACCCAAATGAGGATCCCAGGCCCTCTCTTTCCCCAGACCCCCCTTCACTCGCCCCCACGGCGTAAAAGCCCTTGAGCCTCTTTCATGAAAAAGCACCCAGGTCCTCCTGATGGGGAGATGGAACCCACCTCCGACACCCCCTCCCCGCCTCCAATGAAGGATCCCCGCCTCGCCAGCTGCCCTCACCTGGCGGGGGCGGTGGACAGGCGGTCGGCTGGGTCCGAGCCCGCGCTCCGGAGGTGCCGGCTGCGCACTGGGCTCCCGCGCTGCGGCGGCGCCGGGCCTGGCGGGCGACGGACGCAGCGGATCCTCCGGCCTCGAGACGGCGGCGGCGGGACTCGAGGAGGCGTGGGGGGACTGGGAAGGACCGCTAACGAGGGAGCCGAGACGAGAGGCGGGAGAAGAGGCAGGGGAGAGGCGGGCAGGGGAGGAGGAGGGGGAAGCAGGATAGTGGGAGGAGCGGGCCGGGAGCGGAGCTGAGCAGAGGGACCTAGGGGCTCTGATGGAGAGGTCTCGGCGTGGGCTGCTGTCAAGCGACTGGACCTGTCCCCATCCGTGACTGCCTCAGAGCTTCAGCCTTGGTCTAGAAGGCAGGGGTCACCAATCCTAGTAAGCAGATAGGGGCGGGGCGGAAGGGGGCTGCGGCCCCGAAAAGACTTAACAATCAGAGGCAGGGGCTGAAGTGGGAGTTACCCAGGGCACACTACAGACCAGTCCCCTCCCTGGTTTAGAGAGAGGCGACTGGCTACTGGATCATTACAGAGACTGGACTAGCCTTTGGGCTGCAAGGACAGTGGAAGGTGAGACTGTGGTTGGGATAGATGTCCAAGCTGAGTGGCCTCAGGGGTGGGGGTCTGAGCGATAAAGAAGTCAATGTCACAAGGAAAAGAAGGGCTTGATGTGACCTCATTTTTCTTCCCCACCTCCAAATCTGCAAATGCCCATAGTGGTTTAGGAAGGAATGAGGAAGAGGAAGACAAAGCCCCCAGACACCAGGTCAGCCTGGGCCTCCCTGGGGAAGAGGTGAGAGAGAAGGGAAATCTTTGGGGCAGATTCGAGTTTTGGGCTAGAAAGTCTCCTTCTGTTGTACCTTCAAAGGGAGAGGACTGAGGACAATGAGAGGTACACTAGGCCAACCTGGGGTCTGCTTGGGGGAGTCCCCCCTCTGATATCAGGTCTGGGACAGCTGTCTCCCCACCTCAGCTCTGTCCAGAGGCCTTTGCCATGGCCTTCACTCCAGTCTTCTCCACATCATTGGGGTTTCTGCTTTCTCCCATGACAGCTGTGGACTCGATGAATTGGCACTCAGATGGTGTGGCACTGTGGGATAAGCACTGGATTGCTAACCACAAGGTCTGTGGTTCAGACCCACCAGCTGCTCCTCAGAAACTCTGTTCAGGGTCATTATCAGTCAGAAGCGGCTCAATGGCACTTAGCAAGAGCCAATGTTGAATGGAAGGCCTTTCAGGGACCCCATTCTCACTTCACCTCCCACCCTTTGCCTGCTTCTGGTTAACTAGGGGGTCCTGGACTCTAACTTGGCTCTGGTGCTGGGGGGTCCCTGAGAGACTTGTCTCCCCTGGCCACACCTCAAAACAAACAAAAACCCATCCTGCCCTCTTGAAGTCTTGCAGAACTTTTCTGGCCACAGTTTCTTTCCTAGGAGCCCCTGGTATCCAAGTACTACTCTGGTGTGGGTTAGTCGCCTGAAGGTGCTGAAGATGACTGGTTCATTTAGTTCCTACTTTTCAGGTGTCAGGTGAAAGAAGGAACGGTGGCATTTCAGATTGGGTGATAGGGATATCTTTTGGGTCCTGGTGTGATGCTATATATAGGATAAGCCAACTGCAAGGCTTGCAGTTCAAACCCTCTAGCCTTTGAAATCCTATACAGGGTTGCTATGAGTTGAAGCTGACTTGATGACACTTAACAATAACAATGAGGGTGTGGGGACATGGATTAAAGACACTATCTAGCAACTACCTCCTTCACCGGCTTCAAAGGCTTGGACATGAAGCAGGGCGAGGGTTGGGTGAGTCCCTGAAGAGAACAGGAGGGCAGGGAAGCAGCCATAAACTTTCTATAGGACATTGTGCCCTATCTGGACCAGGAGTGTGAGGCTTCCCTCTGGAAGGTGTGATACCAATGTTGGGAAGGGAGAAGGAAGACCCTCTGTGCAAGATGCAGAACCTCAAAAAATTTTTTGCCAAGGAAGTTAGGGTGTGGAGTAAAGGGTAGAAACTGACTGCTGGGGCAGATGATGGTTGATTTGCTTCAGGAGATAGGGATGGGAAGGAGAGTTGGGAGTGAGGAAAGGAATGGAGAAGGAGAATGCTGCAAGCTGGTGGGTGTGTAGGGTAGGCTGGAGCTGGTAGAGTGGGCAGTGAGGGACATATATCAAAATAGAAGTTATGAAAAGGTAGCTGAAGGTTCAGAGAAAAGAGCCCAGGCTAGCTAGATTGTAGTTCCTGCATGTTATTACATGCCATGAGTTGCTCCGGC